TGCCCTCTCCCCCCCGTCCCAGCGGGGGGGCTGCCGATCGGGGGCCGCCTGCCCCCCCCCTCCCGGTTCTGAGATCTCTGCAATTCCTCCAGCCGCAGGGAGCGCGCGGGCTTCTCTCTTCCTGCTAACGTGGCCTGAGGGGAAATTGCTGGGTGGCTTCTGAGAAAGGCCACAATAGTGGTTCCTATTGCTATAAATAGAGGGGACTGCTCTCTGCGGCATCCTGTTGCGCTGAGAACCAGAGGCCGCCTGGATACAGGCACCTGGGTCAGGAAGAGGAGTCTGCGTTCGCTTTTCACTGGGGCACTCCTGCAGAAGGTGGCGTGACCTGCCAGGCCCTGCCAGGGCAAATATTAGAAAGGAAGAGAAATTTCCTCTCTTCTCCGGCGCTATTTTTAACGGTCTGCTGAGACCGTTCAGTAATTCAATAAAAGGAAAACTTTTATTGGTTTCAAAAGTCCAATGAGTGGGTCAGATTTTAAGAATATGAAAGTGTGTGTGTGCACGGGTATAGACAGCGATGTTGGTGTTAACTGAGTGTGCGCGCACACCCCATCACATTCTGAGAGGGTACTGTTGTAAAAAAAATCCATAAGAAATTGCATTTTAAAAAACCATTTATAAATGTGCATTTTCTTCAGAACTTTGTCTTTACTTCCATGCCAGTTTATGCAGACTTGATTAGCATAATTGATCAAAAGGCAGATGATTGGTCATCAAAGATTTCCTGAAGGGAGTGGCTTTGATTACTTGCCACAGAATAAAGCAAATTATGACAGAGCAAAGGTTAGCCGTGTGGATATTCCCCAGATCTCCATGGGGAACCTCAGACCTTCTATCTCTCTATCCCTGTCTCTAATCTCTGTGCCCCGAATTTCCTCTAAATGTTATAACCTCCCGAAGATGTGAGCATTCTTGTGCAAGAAGACCTCATGAGCTTCGTCAGGATTTTTTGCAAGCCCTTGTGCAAGAATGCCCAAATCTTTCAAAACTGCACCAAAATTCAGAATACATATCTCTGTCTTTTGGATTTATTTCCTTTCGACATGTGCGTTCCCAAGTGTACTCTTGTGCAGTATATATTTAGAAAAATACTTTGGCACAGATTTTGCCTGGCCAGCTGTGCGGAGGGCAAATCCCAATGGATAATGGCCTTCTGGTCCTCTCAGGACCCCCGAACGTGTGATGGGCTGGGAAAGTCCGGTCTTGGCGTGCGCGTATTCCGGAAATGTCCCTCTCTGAACAGAAAGTGCCAGAGAAAAGGTTTCTAACCAGTGACTGTTTTTGGAATTGCTTCTACACCCTTGATTTGTAAGAAGCACAGCACAGCACAGCATCTGCGTATCAAATTGGGTTTAGGGGCCCCGGCTGGTCTCTCCTCCAGGCAAGTCTTGGAGAATGTGCAACCAGGAGTAAGACAGACATAAAGCATGGGGTGGAGTTAGCTGAAGTGGACACTGGTGGTCCAAGAGCAGGCAGTGAGAATGTCCAGCTTGCAGCAATTCTGGCTTAAACACACAGCAGCATCCCTCTGCCTTCTCCTTACCTTCCTGTCTGGTGTATTATTTTTATTTATGTATTACGTTTGTATGCTACTGACTCACAGCCACTTACAACAAGGCGAAATACAAAAATACATTCCTAATAAGTAAGATAGCCTTGTTGTTGTTCAGTCGTTAAGTCGTGTCCGACTCTTCGTGACCCCATGAACCATATTGCGCCAGGCCTTCCTGTCCTTCACTGCCTCCCTGAGTTTGCTCAGTTTCATGCTCATTGCTTCAGTGATGCTCTCTAACCATCTCATCCTCTGCCGTCCTCTTCTCCTTATGCCTTCCATCTTTCCCAGCATCAGGGTCTTTTCCAAAGAGTCCTCTCTTCGCAAGATAGCCTTAATCCTGGTGATAACATAATACAGCAGAACTTCATAAACAAAATAATGAATTACAAAACATAATAATGAAAAAAGATTAGAATCGTGCAAGTCACGATGTTCCCTGTGACACTCCATGGAAGCAAAGGTTGGACTTGGAAGAAGGAAGACTGGAAGAGTCTTGACGCCTTTGAACTTTGGGGTTGGAGGAGACTCCTGAGAAGATCACGGACAGCCAAGAAAACAAACTGATGGATCATCAAGCAAATCAACCCAGAGTTTTTACTAGAGGCTCAAATGACCAAGTTCAAATTATCCTACTTCGGGCACATTATGTGAAGACCCAGCTCTCTGGAGAAGGCTCTGATGCTAGGAAAGGTGGGAGGAAAGAGAAGAAGAGGAGGACCAGCAGCCAGGGGGATGGACTGTGTTACAGTAGTGATGAGGCCACCATTGGAAGACCTGAAGGACCAGGTTAGGGCCAGATTGTGGAGAAAATCCATCTATGTGGTCCCTAAGAGTTGACACCGATTTGATGGTACAAAATAAAATAAAAAAAAAGTAACAAATAATAAAGCCCCATTCCAGATGGCACACAGTCATTCCTCAAAGACCCCCAAGTAAAGTTCAGTCTTTACTACGTTCTGGATGGCCCTCGCTAAGGGGCCCAGTCTAGTTCCTGTAGTGGGAGACGGTTCCAGAGAATTAACGTCACGACTGAAAAACAGCATTTTCTAGCTTCAGCCTCTCTCCCCTCATAAAATTGGGCTTCTCTCAGGGGGATCTCCTCAGATGGGTTCACTCTAGTTGAAGTAGTTGGTCCTCAGTGCTCAAGCTATCTGGGCTGGACAAGTCCAGACTAGCGCTTTGTTAGCGTTTGCTAAATAGCTGTGATATGAGTGCGGTGCCTAGCACCAGTCAACAAATGAGCCACGTTCTTTGAGGCAGCCTCATTGCAGACCTGTAGCTGGGTAGTGATAAGGCCATAAGAGCAAGGTCTTCAGCTCCAGAGAACGTAACCAGGAAGGTCAAGCTTCGGAGGCAGTGGACGCCTGTGTTCCTTGCTGAGTGAGACCACCTCTTCCAGGTTTTGATGCTTGGGAGAATCTGACTTGTGAGGCATGATCTGTCTGGGGGTCAGAGCCTTGGAGCATGGGCCTGGGGCTTCCTCTCACAGCCTTGTTTGGAGATGATGCTGTGGCATCAAAATGGGGATCCGTGGGACAGGTAGTGTGCATGTGGGCTGTGAGAAAGTCCTGTTTCATGGAAAGCTTTTCCAAAGCTGCAGCCCTCCAGATAGATTGGACTACAAAGCTCACACTTCCCAGCCAGCAGGCCAGTGGGCAGGAAACAAGCTGTAGCTCAGCATGGGTGAAGGGCTCTGAGTTGAGGTGGTACCTACTTGTATGTCTTTGGACTTTCTTTGCAAGAACTTGGTTCCTAGGGAGGGCCAGGCCCTTTTCCTGGCATAGGGCAGTAGTCTTCGGCTTTTAAAATCCAGCCCTTTCTGTGCTCTACCATTTGCAGGAGGCCACACCGGAGACACGGCGCTCAGTCCGGCTCAACAGCCTATTCAGTGAAGACGAGCTGATTGAAGATCATTTCAAAGAGGAAACAGCCACTAAGTGAGAGTCACATCATCTGCTTGCTGCCTTTGTGTGGGGAGAGCTTCCTGCTTGGATGTTGTCAGGCAGGCCCTCCTTGGCTCTTGGGTTCTGCCTTCAGCTTGGCGGAACTTAGAGGATAAAGGAAAGCCTACCTCTTTTAGGCAAAGGATTGTTGCTTTGCCCAATAAACCAAAAGCACTAGTTCTGGGTTCTAGCCATCAAAGCAGAAATACATTGGGGGAGAGGGTTCATCCTCTCCTGATTCTTCATGCTTGGATAGAGAGCAAGCAGTACTTGGAGATCAGCAAGGTCTCCTTCCAGTTGAGCTGGACCTCTGGTGACTTTGGGGACGCACCCATGTCGCTTTCTGGGCAACAACACCAAAGGGGCTTCTCCCTGCCTTTTTCTGGAATTTTTTTGTTACTTCCCACTCTAGCCCTGAGATATCCTTGGGGTCTCCCATCTAAGTACTAACTTGTGAGATGGGCAGTGACCACATTTGAAATATAAACAAATGAACAAACAAGCAAACTGATCTTGCCACCAAACCGGGCGAAGATAAAGTCTGCCTTGCACTGAGCTGGTGATGCTGTGAACGTCTCCAGCCTTTCTTCCTGGCAGTAAGGTGGAAGTGGAGTGTTCCTGCCTCTTCTGGGAGGGCTTTTCTACTTCCCTCTCTAGCCTACAGTATCTGCTCTCTCCCTCCGAGGGCTAACCCTGGTTAGCTTTTTGAGGATCAGCCATGGTCGGCTGGGGACTGTTACCCAGCTGGGAATCTCTCTTTCTCCCTCTTTGAATGAGAGAGATTGGGAAAAGTTGCAGGAGGCTGTCATCATCCAAACCACGGACTCCCCATTGTGGTGGACTACAACTCCCAGCATCCCCAGCCCAGCCACTCTCCCTCACGTCAATTCCAGGATTTCAGATTTGCTTGAAGGCACGTGGTAGAAATAAATCACCTTCGCTGCTCTGTTGGCTTTGGGGAATGTGGTCGGTTTACCGCTCCTTTGCTTTTATAGGTGTTGTTGAATCACGCCCTCCAAGCCCTCCTGAAACCTCCAGAGCTTCTCTTTATTAAAGGTGCCCTGAAGTCAGCAGGGACGGGGTTAGATTTTGAAGGAACCGGACGGGTTTAGTGCGAGGTTTGGTCCTTCTGATCCAAACTGCTTCAGGATTGTTGGGAGTGTCAAGACTCAATACTAAAAAGTTTTTAAAAGGATTTAGCTGGAAAGGCAATGCAGGAGTGGGGAAGATGTGGCTCTCCGGATCGTAATGAGCCCCTGGGCATTGTGGTTCAGCATCTGGAGGTCAGCAAGTCCCCCTGCCCCCTCGTACCCTGGAGACTCCCTGGAACCGAGGGAGTGGGGCAAGCAGGCAGCTCAAGTTTAGGACGTCCCTCGATCCGCAGTGGGATCTGCGCACAAGGCGTCCTCTGCGCTTCGCTTTCCTGATCTCCATCTGCACAAGCCCCCCTGCCGTTGGAGCTCGCACCGTCTAAATCGGTGTTTTTCAGACTTGGCCCCTTGGAGATGGGTGGACTTCAACTCCCGGAATCCCCCAGCCAGCTGAGGTGCACCCATCTCCAAGGGGCCAAGTTTGAAAAACACTGGTCTAAATTTAAAAAAAGAAAAAAATGGACAGAGAGACAAGAATGGCCCATGCAGTTAGGAGCCCTGGGATTTAGTTCTGCCAGAAAATGAGATCTCTCTTCCTGTGTTAAAGTGCCCTTGATCCTCCATTCTGTTCAGCTCCAAGAACGACTTGCACTTGGTGGGTAAGCTTGCATAGACCCCCAGCTCGCCCCCTTCTGCAGGGACCTGGCGCTTCCTTTCTAACGGCAGCTGTGCTCTGTTTTCTCCCTTCCCTTCCCTCC